TTAATTAACTCTCATGTTGTAGTACAAAACAGCCATGGGAAATATGTAAATAAATGTGCGGCTGTGTTCCAATGAAACTCCATTCACAAAATCAGACAATGGGCCAGCTTTGGCTGTAGACCGTAGTTTGCTGATCCCCAGAGTATCATCATATCCTTTCTTTCACAGGAGGTCCTCATGGTTAGCTGGGCAGGTGGCTGTTCAGCAATCCCCCAGATACATCTGTACTCCCAGGCAGCCCTGCAGCCAGCCGTAGACACGTGAGTAGATTCTAGCCAATGAGAAGGAGGTGGAAGAAATATTGGGATTTCTTGGAAGGCTGTTTAAAAGGAGCTGATTTGTTTGCAAAGGGCCCTTTTCTCCCCCTCTGCTTTTCCTTCTTCTTCCATCCCATGAAGGGCCCAAGCAGCCATCTGGCACCATGCTGTGGTTTTGGGGAAGAGGCTACCAGGTAGGAGGAGAGAGCAGGAAGATAGGAGCCTGAGTCCTTGCTGGCACCAGGGGCCACGGTACCTGCCCTGCATGGCCAACATGCAGACTTATAGTGAGGACCAGATAAGCTTCTGCTGTATCTAAGCTGCCATGTGTGTTTGTGTTATGACATGCAGTAGAGCCTAATCGTAACCATGCGCCAGTGCGTAGACACAGCCAACAAATATTTGACTAGTGGAAGGAATGCCCGGGGTCTGAGGGAGCACGCGGAGGAAGTTCACTCTGCCGGGTGGGTGGGGAGTCAAGGAGACGTACAAACACCGAGGCCTCCGCAGGCTTTTCTGTGGGTTAGCACCCAGGATGACTCAAGTCTCCAGTCTGTTCCTCCTGCTGCCTTTCTTCCTCCCCACGGGGGACTTTCCTTTTAGAGGGGCGGCGGTCAACCACTTAATCTTTGGGGTATCCTTCACCACAAAGATCACCTCTCATGAAGGATTCAGTTTCCTGCAAGAGAATGCACTGTTTCCCATTGTTTGAATGGGGTCTTACCACTGGACACCAAGGGAACATAGCCAGGAGAATTCCCGAAATAACAAAAAGCCTAATATCCGATAAGGACAGAGGAAATGTAACAGGCCCTCATGGTCATGGTCCCCGATTTGCCAGCATGTGGGTGGTGCACACAGGGGTCATAGAGGGAAGACAAGGTTTTGGCATCAGGCATCGTTGGATTTGAAGGGTGAGATATTGGCCAAGTCGTGTGATTTCCCTGAGTGTCAGTTTCCCCACGGACCGAAGAGGTCAATAGGAACTTTCTTGTAGCACTCTTGTGAGCATTAAATAGTGAAAGGGAGGCTGGCAGTGAGAAGGAGTCCAAATTACAGTCTGGAAACTTCTGTCTGCCCGCTATCCTGATGATCAGGGTTGAGGTGCGGTAGGACGGTAATTTACGATTTGGGTGGATCCTGACCCCGCTTTGGAAGGCCAAAGTCTTCCAGCCTTCACACTGAACACTTCCTTCCCTTTGTCCTTTGTGAGCCTGTCCCTACACAATTGCACTTCCTTTTATCCCCCCACCCTGCTTTAAAGCGATAGCAGAAAAATCCCCAGAATCAGTAAAAAGAACCAAACAAACCAAAATCTCACTTGTTCTTTTTCCAACATCATCTCAGCCATGCCAGAGTCCCGCTGAGCATCAGTGACACTAGGACATTCTCAATGTCACACTTACTGGCTGGGCATTTTCTCTTTCTGATGAACGTGGATGGCCTTGACGTGTCTCTGACTGAGTAAGTGGTCACAGGACACTTCAGACCTGGAGGCCTTTTCCATAAAGGTGGCTTACAAATGCAAAATAGTCCACATCCCTGGAGATGTCTGAAAAAGCTATTAGCGCCATGCCTGGGAAATGAACAACCCAAAAAAAGCTGCCAACAGCGAACAGGATCCTGCAGCCTTCAGTGTGTGCAAATTGGGTTCGTAGAGAGGCTGTAAACTTAGCACCGCTACCTGTAAATGGTGTCAAGGAGAAGTGCGTGACGTGAGCTCCAGAGAGAGGGAAGGGAAGGGCACCTGCAGGTGACGGCTCTTTGGAAGCATCCATGGCAGAGACACTTACTGGGGAATAAAAACAATATACCCAAAAGGGAAAAGGAGCCAATTATGGATAGAGATCTGGGTGGGAAAGAAGTGAATGATCTCATTTCTAGCACCTGTTGAAACAAATGGTCCTTGTCATCCTACGGGGCATCCAACTATAACAAATGACACATTAGACGTCGGGTAAATAAGAATAAAAATCTGATGGAAGCAGGGTAAACAAGTGACTACTTGTGTAGAGGGAAACCTTTCTCTCTGGTTGTTAATGATAACTAGAGAGAAAGCAGGGTAAATTCAATCAGGAACACCGATCCAATGTGTGTGGGATGTTGCATTAGGCTCTGTGCAGACTAGATAGAAGCCATTCATTCATTCATTCATTCATTCATTCATTCATTCACTCTAGCAAGTACCTGTTAGGCAGTACTCTGTACAAAGCATAGAGGTAGATGCATGGTCTCTTCCCTTATTCGGTTGACATTGCAGGAGGTGGAACTGGAGCAGTGAGCAGTCCAGGTTCAAGAGTCAAACTACTTGTGTATCGTCCTGATGCCACCACACCAGCTGCGTGACCTTGGACAAGTTACTTGATGCTGCCATGCCTTCGTTTCCCCACCTGCAAAAAGGGGGTGCTACTAGCATCTCCCTTGTGTGCACAGGGAGAGGCTTCAATGAGACAGTACTCACGAAGTGTTCAGAGCAGAGCCTGCCATTCCATGTGTTTTGGTTGTGGTGGTGGCTGCTGTTTGTCACTATTACTGCAGGCCAGAATGGAGAGAAGGTGAGCCTTGAGCAAGTAATGACAAGCACACCAAAAACTGGGAAGGAAAAGGGCAGAGCTGCATCTTGGGAAACACTTTCCTTGAGGAACTAATCTAAGGGCTAGATGGGCGGTTGGCGGCAGGCTCTGGACTCGAACACAGCTTCCTGGGTCCTGATCTAGCTGCTTTCCTCAGCCTGATGGAAACTCACTCAAAACACAACTACCGTGGGACTCTGGTCCTCAAACTAAAGTATAAAAGCCAGTGAGCCGTGGTAACACAAACATTAGTATCACCTATAAGACGGCCATGCAGAATTAGGGTTTCTAGAAGCTAATGGCAGCCAGAATGAAAGTCAAGCTCTGGAGTCCAACAGACCAGGGGCTTACACCCTAATTCCACAAGTTCAATAGTGTTGTGAACTTGAACAGTTTACTTGATTTCCCCTAACCCCCATTCCTTTCCCTGTTAAATAGGGTTAATAACACATTGTAGTGTTATTATGAGGACAAGATGTTCAGAAAAACAGAAGACTTTGCGGTCATCACCATTGTTGTTTAATCTGATGCCCGATTTACTGTGGGTATTTATTAATCATTTTGCTTCTTATTCGTATGTCTTAAAATTGGGGTCCTGTGCACCCCGTTCTGCAGCTGGTTTTTACACTTAGCATTTTTCCAAGCTAGTACTTACAGATACACTTTCTTCTCTTTAATGTAACAACATTTCAGAGATTCCACATAATAGGCATTGTGCATTCTAAATGAATTTGTGTTCTGCACATCACAACACCAGCTACAAATATTTGAAGCGAGCGATATGTGTATGAATGAGTCACATTATAGCTCTGATTTGTACTGTGGCAATAAGTCAGGACCCGCCGAATGAGAAAAGCAAAGGCTATTTCTGCTGAGCTTGCTATAGGAGGGAGTCAGCTACTGCCACTTGCATCATGGCAGAGACTCAAAGTCAGGCAGCAGAGCAGGGAAGCTTTATGGAGGGAGGAACGGAGGGAGGGGCTTCGGTGGGTCCTCACTGGAGGCTGTTGACAGGAGGAAGCTGGAGGTGGGCTAACTAGAAACAGGACATCCTATCGGCTAGAAATGACTTTCTTTGATTGGTCCCACATTAGAACAGGGATAAAAATTAGGGAAGCTGTTAGTTATTAATCCTGGCCATTTGGCACCTGTTTTTACTGAATTATTGTTTAGCTTCCTGGATTGTCACTAAAGACAGCAGGCCGGCTTCCTGCAGGGTTTGCTGTGGAGAAGGGGTTCATTTCCTGGGCGGGCTGCAGGTCAAAGTTCTGTTTGTTGTTTTAAAATACGACCTGGCCATTGTCTGTTTGTATATTCAGTCTCTGTGGTTCTTAAGGGTGTACAGACCCCTTGCAATAAATTAAAGAAAATCTGTCTTCACAACCCACAGAAGGGAATCCAATGCTTTAATATAGGAAATAATGCTGGCCTGTATCCTGGGACTCAAATACTTTTTGTCATAGAAGTTTTGCTTGGACATCTGTACCCCAACAGCCAGATTATCTCCAGGTGTGGAGCTGAGTATTCAGTGAATGCACCCCTCCCTCCTAGGTAAGGAGAATTCAACCAAGTGGTCTTGGCTGCGATGCTCCCAGGAGGCTGTGTGGGCACTTTTGAGAGAGATTTTGAGTTAGAAGTCCCGGTTCGGCTGCCATTCCACCACTTCCTAGCCACGTGCCCTGGGGAAGCCGAGGAACTCCCGGCCTGCTCCCACTTCTGGAGCACAGGGCCAGCTTAGCCCTTCCACGTCCATCTGTCTGGGCCACAGGATTTGCGAAAATGCTTCACAAACTGAGTCGGGCTATGCAAATGTAAATGCATATTATCAGGATGATAGAAATGTTACTGCCTGGAATCACGCATTCAGTATTTTATAGAATCCATTGATGGGATTCTCCTAAAAACAATTCTCCCCTCTGGCAATGTTCTCCGCCGGGCTACCAAATGGACTCTTACTTGATCAGCTATTAGGTCTTTGAAGCGGCACACAATTTTCAAGTGAGTTATTCAATTAATCATTTCTGTCATAACTGCATTGTCCCTTTGGATTATCTGCTTCTGGAAAACACCACAGCTGGCGGAGCGGGTCGAACTCCCTGCTCCTCCCAACAGATCAAATGGCCTCGGCAGGTGGGGGTGGGGGGGTGGGGGGGGGAGGACCCCGGTTAATGGCCAAATGAGTAGCAAGTGGGGAAAAAGAGAGAGCCAAGTGGTTATCGTCACAGTTTACCTCCCCTTGCACAATGAGGTGGCCCAGTAATGCCGCTAAATGGGATTGCTACAGATTGAATCAAAACGCCGGAGATTGCTATTTAAAAGCCCCTGGGGGGGGATTACTTGATAAAGGATCTTTCCATTTTCATGAATGGGTCCCCTGATAGGATTGCTTTTTCCAAATTTGAATTTTTATACTCTAGTTTTCAAATTATTATGTATTATAATGTATATTAAACCACAAACAAATTATATTATCACATGGCATATATAAATGTATGTAGAATATACGGAATGTAATTTCTATAATAATCATAGTTACTGAGACGCAGTGGCTAAGAAGTACGGCGGCGTGTGGCTGTTTAAACCGCTCCTCTGAGAGAGAATGTTTAACAGAACACGGTGCCTTGCCTATAAATCCTGAAGAAAGCTCCCTTCAACAAGGGCAAAAGACCTCAGGGTAATGAAAGTATTTCAAATAAATAGTTAGGACCAACGAGGAAATGACTTGCCATTTGAAGTGTTAAGCTGCCTGTCAGGAAAATTTAGATTGTGGGGAACCACTTTGTAGAAATATTTTTTCATTTCATGATTGCGCCTGAACTTTTTGGAAAATAGAAGTCTATGGGAGGAGTGAGATGGATAGACCTCCTTCCTCAACCTGTTCAGGTTAAAATAGCTTAGGAGTAAAACGAGTGTACACAAGTTTGGGGGAAATGAAGGGTCCACGTGACAGCTGGGACCAGCTGACGGGCAGTGTATGTGCTGATTTGTCTGGCGATGGAGGGCTCCCACCATCTGTACTTATATGTACAGTTGACCTTGAACAACGTGAGTGTAAACTGCCAAGCTCCACTTAGACACTGATTGATTTTTTTTTAACTTACAGTGTTGATACATAGAGTACAGTACTAGAAATGTATTTTCTCTTTCTTATGAGTTTCTTAATAATATGTTCTTATCTCTAGCTTGCTTTATTCTAAGGATGCTGTATAAATACGTATAACATACACAATATGTATTCATTGACTGCTATGTTCTCAGGAAGGCCTCTGGTCAACAGTAAGCTATTAGTAGTTAAGGACTGGGGAAGTGAGAGATAGACAATGGTTTTTGACTGTGTGAAGGGTCAGCACCCTAACCCCGGGTTTCAAGGGGGAGAAGTAAGCGTCACCTGAGGGGTCTTCTTACATTCAATGAGCGCGGTGCCCCCAGTCACTGCCTGCTGCACCCATCCCGTCCCTCTTCTCTTTTTCCGGAGTTTTGCTGTACACAGATGTACACACACCAGCAGAGGCAGGTGCACACGCCCCACATCTAAAGTGGACAGAGAATCCGGAGACAGCCTAACCTCAGGCCTGGAGGTCAGCTGGAGTCACGTCAAGGCCACATTTAACATCCTTCGGAAGAGACCAACCCTCTCGTTTTACAGATGAGGACAGTGAGGTCCTGCGAGGATCTGTGACTCCCCTGGGGTCACACAGCCACTTAAGCCCAGGTGGGGACGTTGTTTTCTCTTCCCGTCTCTCCAGAGGGCCATCGGGCATTGGTTGGGGAGATTGCGAGGTAGAATCGTCCCTTCCCTGGGGACAGGTGGCCAGGCTGTGTTGTGCTCATTAGCTGGGTAATGCTTACCATTACCTTTGAAGCTGGGGGATAGGATTGCAGGTAAACGTCATGAACCTCTGCAAAAGTAATGTTTCCCTGCACAGAACCTGTTTCCGCCTGTTGCCTGCTGCTGCTGGCCAGTGGTGGCTAGAAACATTGTGACTGAGCTCCTGCTCACAAGCACCGTTTGCTCACAAGCCTCAGACAGAAGGAGGGCTGGGTCTGATTCATGTTATTAAAGACAAACAAACCCATTATTAAAAGTAAACAGGTAGAACTGCTTTGAAACAATTGATTAAATGTCTTCTGTCTCAGAGGCCTAAATTCACCCCAGTTACCCCCAACAGCCCCCTCCTTATTGAAATCAAAAGAGGAAATTGGCAGCAATACCTTAAGAAGAACAGCCCCTTAAGTGCGTGTTATAGGTTAGGCTTGGCGACCACATACTCTCTAACCCTTGAGATTTGTAAGTCAGCTTTATAGTTAGCATTTTACCAGTGATGGCATGGGCAGATCAGGCAATTGTTCACGGAAATATTAGGGTTTGAACTTACACCCATGGCTTCCAAAACCCACACCCATTCTACCCTAGCACATTGCCCCCATTAAAGACAGGTCTCCCAGGCCCCTGTGTCTGCTGTTGATTTCAAAGAGAAGCTCAAGACATAAGAGAAAGGAGCATGCATCTGTCCTGGTAAAACCCCCTGAAATTGCAGGCATGCTTGTGGGTTGCCAGGGAGAGAAAGCCCTTAAGCCACCTAAGTGATTTAAATGTAAAGTAGGCAGACTATAGATGCCAAATTTTAGGTGCTCAGTATCTAGCCCTGTTGCCTATCTAACTCTGGTGCCACATTTAACACTCTGCTTTCCAGACAAACCAGAATATAGCTTTTCAGGTCCAGAATCTCAGCCTTGCCCATGAATCTAGTGTTAACTGACCCTGAATGACAGACTCCTGCTAGCCAAACTTATTAGAGACAAATGTATAGACAATGTTACTTGGCTACAGTAGAATTTTGTTGACCTGGGACTGTTGGTGCTGGAAACATCTAAACAATGATGTTGTTCCAAAATGAGATTTTTAAATGTCCAAAGTCATGCTATGGTTCTAATCAAGAAGCAGTTTGCTCCGGCAGCCGTGCCCGGTGACAGAGATGCACTACACCACCAGTGACCAGCTGGGGATGACAAAGCAGCCAAAACTCCTGAGCCAGATGGGTGGTGTCACTGCTACGAGCGGACTGACGAAGACTTCATCAGAGCTACTCCGTGTTGTGAAAAACCCTGTGAATTATATGGGATTTTAAGAAAAATTACTGGAAAACAGTGCGACAGTTTCTCAAAAGGTGACAAATCGACTTTCCACATGACCTGGCAATTCCACTGAAGGCACATAAAAAAGATTTGACCACAGACGACCACGTAGAAGCTCACGCACAAATGTTCACAGCACCTTCGTTCACAGCAGCCAAAGAGTGGAATCAGCTCCAAAGCCTATGGATGGATGAATAGACAAAATGTGGCGCTTTTGCACAGTGGAGAATGATTCAGCCATGAAAAAGAACAAAGTACTGATACAGGCTATAACACAGATGAGTACTGATACGTGCTATGAGATGGACGATGCCTGAAAGTGCTTTGCTAAGAGAAAGAAAGCAGACACAAAAGTCCACATGTTGTATGACTCCATTTATGTGAAATGTCGGAATGGGCAAGTTGATGCGCACTGGAAGTAGATCAGTGGTCACTCAGGTCTGAGCACGGGGAGGTCCGGCGAGAATGGGGGAGGTGACTACTCATGGGTGGGGAGCGGTTTTGCGGGCTGCTGTTCTAACGTGAAAATGCTCTAAAATTACTTGCGGTGATGGTTGCACAATTCTGTGAATGTGCTAGAAATCACTGAATTGCAGGCTTCGAAAGGGTGCATTCTATGGTATGCAAATTACATTTCAATAAAGCTGCTTTAAAAAAAAATAACACTTACAATTGAGTAGGAAATAATTGTCCAGGATATTTTCCCTGACTTTTCCCACCCCAAATCCATTCTCCAGTCTTACTTCGCTTTGTTCCCCAGGAAGCTGATCCTATGGGCTGTTTACCCACAGGCTCCATCTGTGAGTGATCAAATAATTTATTCTCCAAACTGGGACACTTTTGAGAACGAACAATGGAGGTAAACAAACTCTCTTGGTCCGGCCAGGGTTCTGCTGGGGTTTGGTTCCAGCTCCACTAAGGGCTAAAACTCCTGCGAGGCAGACCTCTCCCTGCTCAGCTGCCCCACCCCCGTCCTTGTCCTTCAGGATGGTGATGGCTTCCCATCTCGGCCCCCGGAACTGCATGGCTGTCCCCCTGGTTTCCTCAGACCTTGCCCATGTCCTTGCGAAGAGTTTCTGTCTTAAATTTCCTCCATTTTCAGTTGCAATGGGCCATCTGCTTCCTGTTCCCACCCTCCCGACACAAAACTCCAGATAAACAGCCTGAAAGAGAAATGTGAAGAGGGAAGTGTGGCCAGCACAGTGACACCGCTGGATCGCAGACCCTCCTCCAGTTTCGGCAGACGTCTGTTTGTCCAGACAGCAAGTCCTGATAGCAAGTGATTTTGCTGCACCTTCCCCACAGGATGCTCCAGGAAATACAATAAAACAAATTTCTGCAAATTTCGGCTGCTTTGGAGGAAATGTGTGTATAGTACAAATTATAACTTTCATTCATTACCATTAACCTAAAACAGAATTCAGAATGTCTGCCTACATGTATATATCTTTCCTGTGTATTTCCACTTCAGTGGAATTTATTGGAGTTAACCAAAAAAGATGTTTTATGTTCATTTATTTTGTGATAGTTGGAAGCATCAAATTGATAAAAGTTTAAAAATTGAGAAAAAAACACAATTTTTGGTATGAGAATTCAGTATGAAAACATATATTCATTGATTTTTTTTTTCTTGTTCAGGACACGCTGTGCTACCTCAAAGCTGAGAATTTATGTGTTTCACCAACTCTGGAAAATTCTCTGCCCTTATCTCCTGGAATAGCTGCTCTCCCCTCCCCCATTCTCTAACAGTATGCTTTATTCTTATTATAGCCTCCTTGTTTTCTAACCTATTTTTCCTATTTTCTACTTTATTTCTACGTGCTTTCTTCTGATCTTTGTGATCAAAATTTTCTTTTCACCTCTGGGTCGATTCAGCTCCCTAACCTGTCCAAATATATGTGGTAATTTCAGTGACTACATTTTTTCATTGCTAGTCCGTTTATTGTCTATTAAATTCTTTTTTCCCAGTGCTTTCCCTCCTTTCACAATGTTGCATTTTTGCGTCCTTTTTTGGTATTTTAATCATTGCAATGTATCTATCCCTATCAGGTGATTGGATTAGCTTTAGCTCTTGCGGATTAGACCCAGACGTTAGTTGTGGCTGCTGACGCTTGAACACCATGGGTGGACTGTTTCTTGTACAACGTATACTTGCAAATTGTGAGCTCATTTCGGGGGCCTTTGTCTGTGGGAAACTTCTGAGGAACTGACTGAGGGTTTGCCCCCCTCAGAGCCATTCCTCATTTGCTTCTGCCAGGCTACCCAGGACTGTTTCAGGCCAGTGACAAGTTTTCACATCGGTCCTCACCTTGGGCATTTGGGGTCCATTCAAGGTAAGGGAAATTCACACCCCAGACAAGGAAGGCTGTGGTGCTGGTCTCTGGTTACAAGTTCTCCGTGGGTGCTGCAGACCCACCCAGAGCCCAGACCAGGACTATCACGCTTTTGGGTCAGCTACCGCTTCTAGTGGGTACACTGCTTCCTGCTCCACCAGTCCTGGAAGGTGTGTGATCTCGGGTCCTGACTCTACGGGGCGGGGCGGTGGTGGTGGGGGGGGGTGGCGCTCTCAGGTGCATTTCCCTCTTTAGGTGGGCCCAGGGCCTCTTTTTCCTAGGAGTTCCCCTTTGGGCATCGGCTTTCCCACATTCTCTTCTGGTTTTCAGCTTCCTCTTTGTTTCTGGCCCCTAAGGATTTCCCTTCTTTCTTTCTAGTTCTGGATGAATTTAAAAGGGTTCTGATGACATTTTACCCAGCATGTCTGCATGGCTGTGGCAGGAGGGAGTTTCAGGATATAGAATCTGCCTCTCTCCAGACACTGGAAGTCCCCTTTTCATTGTGTTTACATCACAAAATGCCAGGTTTTGTGTTTGTGTAACATTTTCCATTTTTAGTTGCACTCAGAGACCTCTGATTGATTAGCAATAGCTAGGTCTTTTTCAAGTGCTTCACAATTGCTGCTCTAACCAGAACTCACATCTTATTTACAGAATGTTCCTTTTTCTCATCGTGCTTGTGTGGATCAGAAAGAGATGAATTCCAGAGGAAGATGAGATCAGATCCTGGACTGTCTTGTTCTCTAGTTTGCAAGGGGGGTTCGAGGGGGACACCTGCTTCCCTCAGAGCGCCCTTCACGGTATCAAGGTAACGCGGAAGCTAAGTTAGTAGTCAGCGGATAGCTTGGGAGCACATAAACAAGGAGAAGGAAATTCCATGCTCCTGGTGGTCAAGAGTGGTTTGGCACGGAGTAGGTGCTCAGGAAACATCTTGGGAACTGACCCGAACCATCGCTACCCCACTACAGAGCAGACACGTTTTCCTCGTGACCTAGACCCATCAGACAGGGTGCCAGACACACAAATTCTTTCATCTTCTTTCTCTCCTTCATTATCTACCCTGTGAACCAAGCCCCATACTCGACTCTCGTGGTCACAGGCTGCTTGCAGCTTGTGTGCACAGAGTTTTGAAACATTTAGAAATGAAAAATATTTTGGTTCTGGGGAAACTTTATACCAAGATTCAAAGATTCAGTTCCTCTGGAAAGATTGGAACATGTGGCTATTAAGGACCCACATTCCCCTTGGCCTTGGACTGGGGAGCAGCTAGAGAACTTGCTCTCCAGGTCACTATGGTTCTGCCACCACCTATGAACTTACACCTAGCCTGCCCCACACAGGTAGGCTGTCTGACCTCCACAGGCACAGGCTTGTGCCCTGCCGTTCCAGCATCACTTGGCATAGCAACCAATCAGTTCGTGAGGACATAGCTTCTTTTATTAGTTTCACGGCCCAGGGACACATTCTGTACTCTGAGGTTATACCTGGCCGTATCCTAGGCCACCGTCCACAAACACTTGAAAAACATCTCTTATGGCAAGTCCCTGTGACAGATACTATCTGCTAATTCTTGCTAGTTTCATTTTCAAAAGGGGATTCCGTTTCTAGATTTGTGATACTTTATCTACTGACAACTCCTCGGTTTTTCTAAGAGATTGAGTGCCTCTGGGCTCATAAGGAATTTTGCTTATAGAGCAAGTTTAGACCGATTTTGTTTCATAGATGAGCCATGGTGATGATCAATATGTACTAAGAGCTAACCTATATTGAGCCGTACTGTGGGCCAAGTACGAGGCTAAGTAATCCCATCCAGTCCGCACACAGATTTGGAGTTAGCAATTCTAACGTCCATTTTTACAGGTGAAGAAACTAAGGCACAGAACGCTGAGAAGTGAAGGAGCCAGAATTCAGACCTAGGCAGCCTGACCTTGAACCTACCCGCTCAGCCCCTTCCCACAGCTGCTGCTGAAGCCAAGCCCCTCACTAGGCTCAGGAGTTTCACAAACAGCACCTGAAGCCTCATGGCAGCCCTGGGGGCCTCACGTAGCCACCTGGCCTCACATTAAAGTCACCTGAGGAGCTCTGAGGGCAACCCTAAGCATGCAGAAAATATAATGGGTTAACATTTGGGGAACCTAATAGCGGGTAAATGAGAAACCTCTGCCCTATGCTTGCAGTGTTTCCATATGTCTGACATTATGTCCAAATTACAAAATTAAGCGAAGAAAAGAATGTGTTCAAATAATATTAGTTGATCTGGAGGGCTTTTTTACAGGAATCATTGGTAGCAAGAAGTGTTAACAGGAAATGTTAATAGCAAGATCCAGAAAACTGTGTGTGTGTGTGTGATCCCATTTTTGTAAAGCAAATAATGACAAAACATGAACATACACACACCCACACACCCTCCACAGCCTTATACGAGGATGGAATAAAATACATATGATACATTTTTTTAAAAGTCTGGGTCCCGGTCCCCAGAGATTCTACTTGAATTGTTTAGGGGTTGAATAGGTGGGCATAGATATCTTCTTTTAAAGTTCCTTAGATTAGGATTCTTAAGATTGCTTCATATTGGAATCATCTGGAAAGCCTTAAAATGTCTTGATGCCCAGGGCACAGTGCAGACGGACTAAATCAGCCTCCCGGGGAGGGGAGCGTGGGCAGGGGTGATTTAAGATTCCCCCAGGAGGTTCCAATTGTTACCAAGTTTGGGGAGCAGCCTAGGCCCTCAATGCAGCCAGGGCTGAGAATCACTTCTAGCAAGGAAGGGAACTCGCGTGTGTAGCCCTACTACGTGATAGGCATTCGACATCCGTTTCAATTCTGGGAACAAGCCATCAGTTAGGCACTGTGGGGGAAACAGTGGCTGCCTGCTGGGACCAAGTAGCCTGCTACAGGGGGACGTCCTGACCCGCCATCCTGCTTGAGGAAGACGTCATTCCTTCCCCCCTCTCTCCTTCCCAGGATCCCAGGGGTTGAAATTCCTTTGGTGGAGATTCATTCTTTTGGGTTCCTCCTTCCAGGAGCTATTAAAAACAAAAACAAAACAAAGTAAAAACTTCCGGGAGAAATTACATGTTAATCGGGTCTCAACGTCTGCACAGCGAGTGCTGGGTGTTCAGAGCAAGGAGAAAGTTAGAGGCAGGCCCAAACATGGGGGAGGAACGAACGGAAAGGGGTGTAAATCTGATCCTGAAGGTTTTCTGCTCGCAGTCCCTCTGTTCACCAGCCTGACCCCAGACTTATTAAAAAATGCCAAGTGTCGTCCCACGTCTGGGCCTTTCCTGCTTGGTGGGACTTTCTTAGGCTGCCTCTCAAGATGGTTTGGGGTGCTTCACTTTCCCATGACAGACGGGTGTCTGCTTCTCCGTACTGAGGACAGTAGAGACCCCAGGGAAAAGGAGACAAGAGTGGTGTGCTTTGCCAACACTGCTAAGGTTGGGTATTTGGGCCTTTGAATTTAGGCCGGAAATGTGTGGCCGGAAGGCGGAACACAGTGTCCTTGGGGCACATAAGTCAGGAACCCCTTAAGCTAGGAGGGCTGGAGGCTGAGGAGTGAGTCCTCAGGCACGACAGTCAGAAAACCAAGGTTGAAGTCCTGCCTGCCACTTCCCAGGAGTAAAACGACAGCTAGTAATGACAACCTCCTTCTTCAGGTTGTGGTGAGAATTAGGTATAACGCACATAAAATGCCTACATTGTACACAGTAGGGCCTCGGTGATGTTGGCGCCCTCTGGGACCAGGACTGGAACGAGCCGTGACCTGGCCCCTCCTCCTCTTTCTTTTTAAAAATTTATTTCATTGTGGTAAGACCACAACATGAGATCTACCCTCTTAACACATTTTAAAGTGTACAGTTGTAAGTACATGTTGTTCAGCGTATCTCTGGAGCTTATCTTACATGATCAAGACCTCATGCCCATTGATTAACGCCCACCCCCAGCCTCTTGGCAGCCACTGTTCTACTCCCTGATTCTGAGTTTGACTTTTTATTAAGTGCTTCATGTAAGTAGAGTCATGTATTATTAGCCCTGTGACTGGCTGATTTCACTTAGCACAACGTCCTCAAAGTTCATCCACGCTGTCACATCTTGCAGGATTTTCTTCCTC